GTGTTAAAGACTATATTTATTAAATCTTTCCAGCCTTTTTTTTCTAAACAGAAGTGGCTTTTTGGTTTAAATTTTGTCAGCCTTTGATGATTGTATATTTAAGACACATAATATCCACTATTGTTTATTTTCTATTTTATTCGCTTGTACAGCTTTCAGTCCAAGATATGAGTTACAAAAAGAGAAGAATGAAAACTCTTTTTTTCTTAACCACTTTTTGGTAACTTTTTTTTTTGTTTTTGTTTTTTTAATCAAATTCGCCCCAAGAAAGGCATTAAGCCGCTAAGGCACATCATCATCATCCTGCGGCCTCAGCAGAGATTGAACTCACTACACCTCTCCAGTATTCCCTATCCGTCATAGCTCCTAAAAGATTTCCTTAGGGATCAATGTGTCTCGTTTTATCCTATCTGGAAAAGTTAACTTGCGTGATCGATTGTCAGAGGATGGGTGCCTCCAGAGTACAAATGATGACACAAGTTCATCTGTTGCACGTGCACAATGCCCGGCGAACTGGACACGTCTTTTGCAAACTAAGGTTGATACTCTCGGCAAGTCTCCATATATCATTTCTAGAGTTGGACGGTTTCGCTAAGGCACAAGAGTTCACTGAGTATGAAAATTAGAAAACAGAAACATTATTAAGGAGCGTGAACAATAGATGAATCATCAGAAAGACAATAGATAATGATTGAAATTGAATTTTAATTTCTGATGATCAAATTTGGCTGGAAAGTATAGACTTGGAAGAGTGAATCATCGAAATTCCAGTTACATCTTAAATTCATAAGGTATTGAGACCATAGCAAAGAGCTTATCCGAACAATTGCCATGAAAGTATTTATAACCACGTGGAAGCTATATTACGGCGGTGGGAAAGTGACTGAAGCCGACACACCAGATCAAGAGCATAGTGCTGATTCTTCTTTGAATTTTATCAAGAATATCTAAATATATAGCAGAAGCATCGGATCATATGTAGCAGTAATATTCGAAGCATGGACGAATGGTAAACTTATAGATAAGTAAGATAGATTCTGGAGAGAAAAATTGTCTAGAATGAGACACTGAAGCAACTTTCTTAGCAGCTAACCTAGCAATGGATTCAATATCGTCTTTCCACTTTCTCTCAGCCGAGATCGTTACTCTGATAAGGCGAAACGAGGTTAGCATCAACCATGCTAATGGAAGTGAAAAAGAGTTCTCTCAGATCATTACTAGAGAGCAGTTTCGTATTAGAGGTGTTAATATTAACACGCCATTCTTTTGCCCCAGTTAACAACATACTGTGTGTAATTTTTAGGATCAGTCGCCAATCTGACCTTATTGAATTGATCAGACTTACATCAGGAAGTCGCCTTCCCGACAAATCGACCATGGTCTCTTCGTCCGAAAGCGAAAGTTCTAACAACTCGGCCACACGTCTATATATATATATATATATATATATATATATATATATATATATATATATACTAAAGTTCAACCAAAACCAAACCAAAGCCCTACTCAATGTAGATGATAACTGTGTTGTGGTGTATGAGCGTAAGAAAATGCAATAAGTGAAGGTTATATAGTTATATACGAAAGGTAATGTTGAACCCTAGACTTGAAGATGTCAAGATTATTGTGATTGGGATTGAATACTGCCGGGAGTCTGTTCCACATAGCAGCAGTTCTTGGGATGAAGCTCTGCAAGTGAAAACTGACATTTTACTAATGGAATACGAAGGGAATGGGGGATGATTCACACGTGTATGTGGCATGGCGGATCCCATTTGTAAAGTTCAGCGGTGTTGGGATTAAATAATGTAAGCTTGTCAGAACGCATGCCGTAGAAATAGCTATAAAGCCGCGACGTTTCGCCTGTAGAAAAGGAGTTGTAGGGTGGAAACTAATTAATCACCTGCAAAGCTGCGTACGGGCTTTGAATTCTATCAAGACAGGTAAGTTGGCATCTACGCGGACGACACTACAATTTAGTCCTGCCTCAAAAACAAATCTAGTGTCGGTGACAAAACTAACCTGGCCGTGCGTCTTGAAATGGACCTCCAATCGGTTGTTAATTGGGGCAAGAATTGGCTGGTCAACTTTAACGCCTCAAAAACTAAACTACTCTCTATTAATCACCATAGAGATCCTTCACTGCCCCCCCCCCCATTAGAATGTCTGATAGTCAACTTCTTGAGAGCAACTCCCTGCGTCTGCTCGGTCTCACGTTGACTGCTGACATGAGATGGAACAAATAAATTGAGTCAATTTCTTCTTCCACCGCGAGGAAGTTGGCTCTCTGTGCCGCGCCAGGAAATTTTTCTTCCCGGAATCGATACTTCAAATATACAAATCAACTATTCGCCCTTGCATGGAGTATTGCTGCCATATATGGTCTGGGATACCTTCTGTTTAACTCGGAGTTCTTGACAAGATCCAGAGACGGATGTGTAATATAATTGGCCCTAATCTGTCATCTCGTCTACAGTCACTCTCTCACAGACGCGCTGTCGCCTCTCTCTCTGTCTTTTCTCTAAATACTTTCATGGTAATTGCTCCGATGAGCTGCTTTCACTGGTTCCCAGACTCCATAAATTCAAGCGCCCTACGAGGCTGGCATCGCTCCCACTCTTACACTGAAGAAACTTTTAAATGTAGCCGTCTCTTCTACTCCAATAGCTTCATACCTCGCACCTCTCGCCTGTGGAACACCCTTCCCAATTACTGTTTCCCTGAGAGCTATAATCTCCAACTATTCAAATGTAATGTCAATCGACATCTCCAGTTACCTTGATCTACCCACTATCCTTCTCCTCATCCTTTCTTCTATCTCTCCTATCTGCTCTCACTCCAAATCTTCTGCAACTCCCTGCATCCTAGTGGCTTCACGCCTTGCTCGGGGCGTAATGCTTAAAAAAAACAAAAAGTGTCTGTCTTTCCAATTGTGATAACAATAGACATGAAATCATAATGGAACACTACAGCTTAACAGCTTTAAAAAAAAAACTTAAATGCAGAAACTACTGATAATAAATGTCTGCTGTCATTTTAACATCGGTTTTTAACATTGGCTCCATCTCTAATTAAAACTATTCGGTTCTGTCTTTTCTAAACTCATACAGCATTATTATTTTACATTTTCTCTAAACACGTTCTTCTTTAGGTCGGTCAGATTAGTAAAGTTTGTTGAATCGGAATGTGATGACGTAACTTATTCGTTTAAAACTCTCAGAGGACACATTAACATGTATTACTACCATTTACGCATAATAATGGAATAGCGGAAATATCACTTAATTTGTCGCTATTAGATTTCACATATAGGATGTCCTATATATTGACAATTACTCATCTTAGAAATGAAATTCTAAATAAGATGGCTTGCAAAACAACTTACAGTAAACTAAAGTACAATGTTTACCATAGAAAATATCGGTGCCGTAATGGTGAGTTCGAGCTTCAGTTGATTTGGATTTTGTATGTCCCATCCAAAATTCAAATGTTCACATGTAAAATCATCAAAAGTGCATACCAAATATCTTATACTACATCCGCGTCCTGGGTAAGACGATGAACTACATCCGATAGCAAGGCCTCTGATCAAGGGAATTCTGAGGAGCGGGAAACCACCTCTTAATTGCTGGTGTTCCTAGGTCCACCCTGACCCGGGGTGGTAGCACCTGTTAGGATACCAGCTATGGGCAAATAGTTAACCCCCAAACTGGGGTCAAAACACTATGAAAGTGTAAAACTGGTTTTAGTACAAGCAATACATTTTTGAAGAAAAATTATTACCAGCATTGAATTTTTGAGGAAAAACTTTTTACCAGCAATACATTATTACCAGCAATATATTAACAGCAAAAAAAAAAAAATATTACCAGCAATACATTTTTAAGGAAAAAAATATTATCAGCAATATATTTTTAAAGGAAAAAATATTTCCAGCAATACATTTTTAAAGGAAAATAATATTATTAGCGATACATTTTTGAAGAAAAAAATATTACTAGCAATACATTTTTGAAGGAAAACATATTACTAGCAATACATTTTTGAACAAAATTATTAACAGCAATAAATAATCTTGTCGGCATTAAATAAGCCATTATTGTTGATATGCCGTATTTTCTCTTACCCACAGTTTCATTTTCACCTATGAGGAAATTGTTCAGCTTTCACTGTCATGTAAGAGAATTGATATTGTATAGAAGTACAGCATTCTTTTCTTTTCTTTTTTTTTTTCTAACAACATTTTCCTGTTTCTTAATACTTTTCTTAGCTTTTGCAAGATAACTTTTGCGCGTTCGGGTTTCGGTGACGCAATTTCAATCCTCTGTTTAGCGGTATACCGCGATAGTTGACATCGTAGCTTGTAATTATGGGGTCAGCGTTATCTTGACATACGCTTCTGCTCTCCATACCCAAAATATTATTGATTGATAGAGAGAGTCTTAACAGTCACTTGACTAAGTATCTTTTATATATTGATAGTCGGAAAGAAGTATTTCCAGTTTCAGACCCAGGATTTTCAAATTATAGTCCGCATGCAACATCCGGCTCATAACATCATTTTACTTGGACTTCTGCTGCAACTATTTCACAAGAGTAACAGAATTAGTTTTATTTGGTATATAAATAGACTTCTTGGAAGTATCTGTAGACACCTTACTTCACTACTTGTCGAATGCTCACTGGGAATGAAAAGTCTGAGACTGTCGTATTTCTTATTGGTGCAATGCCAAATGCAAAACGCTTATGCTGTTTCCATGAGCTTCAAGAATTTTCTTTTTTTTTAAATTATGCATCTTCAGTGTTAATATATTAAATATTTTTGGTAGAATAAGATTTTGAAATTATTTATTTTGTAATCACCTGGAATTATTCTGGTTTAGATAAAGGGGACAATAATGGAGAACTGTTCGGTCTTAAAAATTCACTTCGCAGAAATAAGTTAGTTTAGAAATAATATTTAGACTGTGATGTTTGACTCGTTTTATCAATACTAGATCCCACATAAAATATCTTTTTTTTCTCTCTCTCTTCTTTCTCTCTTCTCTCTCTCTTCTTTCTCTCTTCTCTCTCTCTTCTTTCTCTCTTCTTTCTCTCTTCTTTCTCTCTTCTTCTTTCTCTCTCTTCTTCTCTTCTTTTCTTTTCTCTCTTTTTCTCTCTCTTTCTCTCTTCTTTCTCTCTTCTTTTCCATTCTCTTCTCTTTCTCTCTTCTTTCTCTCTTCTCTCTCTCTTCTTTCTCTCTTCTTTCTCTCTTCTCTCTCTTCTTTCTCTCTCTTCTTTCTCTCTTCTCTCTCTCTTCTTTCTCTCTTCTTTCTCTCTTCTTTCTCTCTTCTCTCTTTCTCTCTTCTTTCTCTTCTTTCTCTCTTCTTCTCTCTCTTCTTTTCTTCTCTCTCTTCTTTCTCTCTTCTTCTCTCTCTTCTCTTCTCTCTTTCTTCTCTTCTCTCTTCTCTCTCTTCTTTCTCTCTTTCTCTCTTTCTCTCTTCATCTTTTCTCTCTCTTCTCTCTCTTTTCTCTCTTCTTTCTCTCTTCTTATTCTTCTCTCTCTTCTCTCTCTCAAGAGATTCTCTCTTCTCTTCTCTCTCTCTTCAAAGTTCTCTAGTTTTCTCTCTTTCTTTCTCTCTTCTTTCTCTTCTTTCTCTCTTCTTTCTCTCTTCTTTCTCTCTTCTTTCTCTCTTCTTTCTCTCTTCTTTCTCTCTTCTTTCTCTCTTCTCTCTCTCTTCTCTCTCTCTTCTTTCTCTCTTCTTTCTCTCTTCTCTCTCTCTTCTTTCTCTCTTCTCTCTCTCTTCTTTCTCTCTTCTCTCTCTCTTCTTTCTCTCTTCTTTCTCTCTTCTCTCTCTCTTCTTTCTCTCTTCTTTCTTCTTCTCTCTCTTTCTTTCTCTCTTCTTTCTCTCTTCTCTCTTCTCTTCTTCTTCTCTCTCTTTCTCTCTTCTCTCTCTCTTCTCTCTCTCTTCTTTCTGTTTCTTCTCTCTTCTTTCTCTCTTCTCTCTCTCTCTCTTTTCTTCTCTTTCTTCTCTCTCTCTCTTTTCTCTCTTCTTTTCTCTCTCTTCTCTCTCTCTTCTCTCTCTTCTTTCTCTCTCTTCTTCTCTCTCTCTTCTCTCTCTTCTTTCTCTCTTCTCTCTCTTCTTCTCTCTCTTCTTTCTCTCTTCTTTCTCTGAGTTTCTCTCTTCTTTCTCTCTTCTTTCTCTCTTCTTTCTCTCTTCTCTCTCTTCTTTCTCTCTCTTCTTTCTCTCTTCTTTCTCTCTTCTCTCTCTCTTCTTCTCTTCTTTCTCTCTTCTTTCTCTCTTCTTTCTCTCTTCTTTCTCTCTTCTTTTCTTCTCTCTCTTCTTTCTCTCTTCTTTCTCTCTTCTCTCTCTCTTCTCTCTCTCTTCTTTCTCTTCTCTCTCTCTCTTCTCTCTCTCTTCTTTCTCTCTTCTCTCTCTCTTCTTTCTCTCTTCTCTCTCTCTTCTCTCTCTTCTCTCTTTCTTTCTCTCTCTCTTTTCTTCTTCTCTCTTCTTTCTCTCTTCTCTCTCTTCTTTCTCTCTTTCTCTCTGGTTCTCTCTCTCTTCTTTCTCTCTTTCTCTCTCTTTCTCTCTCTTCTTTCTCTCTTCTTTCTCTTTCTCTCTTCTCTTCTCTCTCTCTCTCTCTCTCTCTCTCTCTTCTTTCTCTCTTCTTTCTCTCTTCTCTCTCTCTTCTTTCTCTCTTCTCTCTCTCTTCTCTCTCTTCTCTCTCTCTTCTCTCTCTCTCTCTCCTTCTCTCTCTTCTCTCTCTTCTTTCTCTCTTCTTTCTCTCTTTTCTCTTCTTTCTCTCTTCTCTCTCTCTTCTTCTCTCTCTTCTTCTCTCTTCTTTTCTCTCTCTCTTTCTCTCTTTTCTCTCCTTCTTTCTCTCTTCTCTCTCTTCTTTCTCTCTTCTCTCTCTCTTTCTTTCTCTCTCTTCTCTTCTCTCTTCTCTCTTCTCTCTTCTCTCTCTTCTCTCTCTCTTCTTTCTCTCTTCTTTTCTTTCTCTTCTTTCTCTCTCTCTTCTCTCTCTCTTCTCTCTCTCTTCTTTCTCTCTCTCTCTCTTCTTCTCTCTTCTCTCTCTTCTTTCTCTCTCTCTCTCTCTTCTTTCTCTCGTTCAACTGCTGTATCACCATCTTCGCCATTATTACAATCTTAAAACCGATCAAAATTCCCAAACTCATTTAAGGCTTACGGCCACATCACGTTGAAACACCGATTCCCGTACAATCACCAATCCATAGTCAATCCATAGATGCGTGACCGCTTGGGAATATCTGGTATTGTAAGCTTGGGTTTACTCGAAATTGTTAATCGGAGAGCCGAGTTCCAATTCCAGTTGGGTTCGTTATATTCACTTACGCGCAAATACCCCCGGAAAGTTATGAATCTACTTCTCGCCCCAACTATGGGTTAATTAGTAAGATTTGTATTATTAAACAATTAATACCTCCCCACAAAAAATTCTTACAATCTAAAAGTATTTTCTGGCTTTAAATAACCTGCAATGGGCTGATAAATCATAGAATATGAATCAATCAATAAAACCAATATTACAAAAAAAAAATAAATAAAAAACACCTTACAATATAAACAATTATTACCCACAATGCTCCGGTTTTCGTCTACAAAAGCTTTCCCTTATTTAACATTTTTTTTCCTATCAAGGTAAGCGAAATGACTTATTTTTTCATTCAAACCGTAATTAAATAAAGATTTAATTTTTTAATTCAAATTGTCGAGACTTTCATTTTCTTTTTCTTTTTCATTTATTCATTTATTTCGAATGAGTTTATTATTTGACCAGTTTCAGGAATGCTTTTATTGATAATATCATAATTTTAAGTAGATTAAATTAGTCTTATAAATTGCTTTACTACTAATTCTTTTATATTCCTATTAATTGGAATATTTGACACAATAATGGTTAATCGTACGTTAGTATATATTGTAAAAACTGTTCACTTTCCCTCCTCGGGTGCATGTAAGAATCATTTGGTCATATTCGGTGAAATATGTCGGGACGAAAAGCCCATAATGATTAAAGGCCACCGACAAGGAATCTTTCCCTCAATTTTCTTTCTTATGAACGTAGGTAAATCCTAATGATTGATATCGAAAGCTTCCAGCTTTTCATTTCGTTATCATCAAAATGCAATGATTTAATAGATTAGGCCGTTATGTGCGTGTGGATGTGTGCCCGCGTACGTGCGTTTCTAGAGTTTATAAATAACGTCATTTTGTTAAGTATAATAGTAATACTAGCCTTTCTTTTTTTTCTTTCTTTATTTTCTTATGGGCACGTGGCCGAGTGATGAGAACGTTCGCATTCTGAACATGAGACCCGAGTTCGAATCTCATCATGGTCGATTTGTCAAGAAGATAACTTCCTGGTGCTATCGGACTGGAGGGGTCGATCCCAGTGTGCGGAACCTCTGGAAAGTGCCTGAAAACCATACCACGGGTTGATTCAAAACTTGTGAGTGAAAATGGGTAGACGAAACTTTTGAGGGCCGGCGATAGCTGCGCTAACACGAAGTCACAAGTCATTGTGGCCGAGCGTGCTGGCGTTGTTCAAGTTGTTGATCACGCTAGATAACACGCACTTTCCCAGAAACTGAAACTAAGATCTGCTCAGCATAGTTGCAGTACAAAACACGAGTAAGCTCTGTGGGTGTTGAATAAACACAAATGCACCTGAGCAAGCGTCTGCAATAGGGATTGGCGAGTGACCAGCTATACATTTTTCCTACTAGGAAACATATAGCATTCATTGACTGAGCAGCCTGTACTTCTTGAGGTTGATTTTTTTTTTAATTTCTCTTAAAACTTTTTTTTTCTTCAGGAGAACAGATTTCTCAAGTCCAGTAGCTGGTATTACTCTTCCTAGTATTGATTTGGGTTCCTTTCCTAATCTTTTATTTGAAGTAGTGTGGAATTACATGTGCCATCCATTTTAGTTAGTTCTAATGATGGTAGTATTCAAGTTATGTGTTTGTTTGTTTTTCTGTTATTTGGTACAGTTCATTGTTTTTTGATTCTGTAGCGCCAGTCCATAATGTTCAAAAAGGGCTGATTCCTGACAAGACTCTCGGGCTTCACTTCGCCTCAAAGGCTTTTTTCAACATTAATTTTAGGGAGCTGTTCAATTGATAGTTTAGATGTGTCTGAGCAGGTTTGGCGCCAGTCAAACTATCCTATTCTAGGTTCTATTTCCTTTTCTCTTATACTTTGTTATAACTGATATTGCTATGATGTCTTCGAATTTTGATTCAATTACGCACAACGTGAAAGACAGTTTAAAGTATATTTTTAGAAAAAAAAATCCTACATCAGCCAGATAAAATGTGAATCATGTTCAGTGGCTGAAAGCTTAACTTTTACATTAAGTGCATCTTTATAAAAAAAATGGGTGTTAATTAATTTCGTGTCACCTTTTATTTTATTTTTATTTATTAATCCCTTGTTCTTCCTAAATTCATCATGAAACAATGTGGGCTAGGTAATCAACTTTTTCTTGAACAGCCACTCTTCTAGATTTTTTTTTTTTTAGATTAATAAGGTTTGTCTCCCAGGGCTCTATCTTTGGACCTATATTGTTCCTAATTTTCATCAATGACCTTCCCATTTCTCGATTCGGTGTTTGTGCTGATGACACAACCGTTTATTCCTCTGTTAATGATAAGGACAAATTGCAGCTGATCTCAAAAATTAACTTCAATTTGTTGTTAACTGATGCAAGAAATAGCTTGTTAATTTGAACGCCTTCAAAACATGACTGCTATCTTTTAAACCGCTTAGGGATTATTTTTGTCTCCCATCAGCATCGCTGTCGTTAACTTTAAGGAGAGTAAGACATTGCGCCTTCTCGCTAGCTAACATGAATTAGAACGATTATATTGAATCAGTTGCTAGAAAGTTGGTACACCATGTTAAGCTTGACCATTTTTCTCGCGTTAATCTGTCTTACACATAAGCCCATCATTTTCCCATGCTCTGAATATTGATGCCATATCAGGTCTGTTGCTTCTTCTAGGTATTTAGAAATTCTTGATAAAATCCAAAGAAGAATCTGCAATATTATTGGTCCTAGTCTGGCATCTCGGCTTCAATCAATTCCCCGTCTCTTTTTTATGAATAAATTCATAGTAATTGTTCGGATTAGCTTAACTCTTTTCTTTACGAATTTAATATCAGTAATAGATTGGTAGCAAGATTTCATCATTTTACAGTTGAAATGGCTAGATGTAACTGTAAGTTCTATGCTAACAGTTGCTTCTCTCGCACTTCTCGCTTGTGGAACACTTTTCTGGATTTTTACTTTACAGTCACCTTTGCCATAGGTTTTATTCTGAAATTATTTTACCATTGACACCAAATAATATTCATATATATATATATATATATATATATATATATATATATATATATATATATATATATATATATAAAAGTGAATACAAAGTCAACACCTAGTGTCGACAGTTTGTCTCATGCTTGAACGCATGTTCAAGCGTTGAAGCATGAAAGAGAATCTCGCTACTCAGTGATGACCTTAACTTCATGCCTTACATCAACGCCAAGTTGATCAACTTTCTGTACACTACTTTCGATTTATCCAGAGGTGAGCACATGCCTTCTACTAAAAAGTTTTATAACCATATATACATTAACTAAGAAATCAACCACATACCTGGAATTCTTAATAAATTCCATAAATCTGTACAACACAGACTCTCAACTAACTCCAGAAACAAAATTATTTTTGACACATATAAAACTAAATATGCAGATGTAACAAATAAAAGTAAAAACAAAGTTAAACTAGAATATATTGCAAGCATTAGTAATAATTACAATAATTTTAAGAATAGAAAACGCAATATAATTTGGTTCAATCCACTTTTAACAGTAATGTCAAAATCAACATCAGTAGAATTTTTCTAAATTTAATCCTCAAACATTTCAACCATAACCCTTTACTCAACAAAACCTGCAATAAGAACAATATTAAGATTAGTTACAGCTACATTAGAAACATTGAACAATTTATAACACAGCATAATAATGTAACTTTATGCAAATACTTAAGCAACACCAATTGTCAAAAAGGCATTAACTGTCCAGTGAATCATAAATGTATGTATAAAGGCGTCATCTACAATGCTAGCATTAAACATAATGGCGAGACAAAATTTTATTTTGGTTCCACAGCCAAAAAATGGAAAACAAGAGTTTTATTATCATAAAATGACTCTTAACCATAAGCAACATGCAAATGCCACGGCACTCTCAAGATGTTACTGGGGTATTAAAACAGATGACTATACACAGGTAGTAAAGTGGCCCTACCAGGAACGAAGTTCCGGGCGGCATAGCTCTGACACTACCGTTTACACCCCCCACCGACGTATATACGGTTGCTAATATCTAGTTATTTGATTTATCCATATTAATACTTATATATATGTATATACATATTAATATATATATATATATATATATATATATATATATATGTACATATTAATATATATATATATATACATATTAATATATATATATATATATTATATATATATATATATATATATATATATATATATATATATATATATATATATATATATACTACTGATAATAATAATAATAATAATAATAATAATAATAATAATAATAAAATGTAAAATAAAGTTAAAAATAATCTAAAAGCTTAAAACCTAAAATCAAGAGCTCAATGCCAAAGTCGATGGACCTAAAATATAGTGTATTATAATATCGTAAACAACAATATTAAAAGGGCAAACAAAATTCTGTCAATGAACTGGTAACTTAGGCGGTTAGGTGTTATGGTTAAAACGGAGAAAAGCTGAGTTAAATTCCCACTGGGAACTTGGAATCATTTTCTAATCCACTCCAGATTCTCATTGGCGTAGATTGCGAGATATGAATCAACTAAAAAATGTGACGTGAGAAAATTGTTTATTAAGAATTAAAACTTATTTACAATACTCCATCTAAAAATAAGTAAAAGTTTAGGTCACAGGTTTTAAAATACGTTAACGGTTTAAAGCAAGGTCTTTGTGTCTCACAGATTTGGGAACTTTTGGAAGCATATACATGTCAGATTTCAGATCAGACAATTATAAGAATATGCAT